CTGCGCAACGGAGAGGCGTCCGTCAAGGGGTGGGTTATTGGTGCCGTGGTACACGCAAATGGAATTGCGACCCGGTTGGCGTGATGGCTGTTCTGCCGCTGGTGGAGGTGTATAGGGTGCAGTTACCTTGCAGCTGCGCCTGCCCTGGCGGGCGGGGCGGCGTGGGGCGGCGCCACCTAGGGGCTTCCACCGCGGATTGGGGCCGCACAGGTAAAGGGGTGGGGAGGGCTGGCAGAGGGCCGTTGTTGCTGCCTTGCCGTGGTGGTTGGGGCGCGGCGTTTTGTTCGTAGTTTACCCCGTTAGATCCACCAAACTCTTGTATTTATACTGAGCATGCAAAGAGGCGACACTTTTTGAGTGGTGGACGCGCAAGCGTCGTTCGCAAAATGAAATATAACTCTCGTAAAATGTTGGGACCCAATGGGGACCTGTGGCATGGCGGCGACGCATGGCGAAGAGGGTGGCAGGGTGGCGGGACGGGTTTGAGGGGAGAATAGGAGGAGCTGACCTTAGGGACCTAGGGGACCACAGGCCACAGGCCTCCCTCTGGGTCGGAACGGGATCAATATGCTTGAGACTAAACGGCTGCGGCGTATTGTGACAGTGGCTAGAGAGGGGGCAAACGCACAACGCACACTCCTCCACAAACTCTCAGCACGCCGTGCCTGCCGTGCCGCCGCCCCCCGGGGCCGCGTCGCGTCTCGTCGCCGAGCCGCCCGGGGGGCAGGCCACCTGCTCGCACGCACGCGTCCCTGTGATGGGACTGCCTAGCTGCTAGGCGCTTGCAGCCTGCTCGGCCGATGACATCCCCATTGTTCTGTGAAAAAAAAATTCAAGTTTTCCACCGGTATTTTCTTTTTTTGGTTTCCGGTAGGATCATAGAGTAATTGATAAAAAGTTGTACTTCTAAAAATATCAGAGTTGTATTATTTATCTAATCTGGCATGCTACTCATTATCAATTTTTTCTTTTTCTTTTTCTTTTTTCAATTTTTAATTGTTTTTAATTTTTTTTTAATTACAGGTATTGTACTTGTTGCAATCAATCCTTACTCTGAACTACCAATTTATGGTAGTGATACTGTTTGGACCTACCGCGGTCAATCTATGGGTGATCTCGATCCTCATATTTTTGCTGTGGCAGAGGAAGCATACACTAAGCTCGAAAGGTCAGTACTTCAGGATCTAAAGGGAACATGTGCAAACAACTTCAAAATAGACCTTACAATTTTCTATCTTATTTTTGTTTAGGGAGCAGAGAGATCAAAGTATAATTGTTTCTGGAGAGTCGGGAGCAGGCAAAACTGTGTCAGCAAAATATGCTATGCGATATTTTGCAATTGTTGGTGGATCTTCCACTGAAACACAAGTTGAGAAGAAGGTACTTGCTTCAAGTCCTATTATGGAGGCGATAGGAAATGCCAAAACTACTCGTAATGACAATAGTTCGCGGTTTGGGAAATACATAGAAATTCATTTTGACCGTGCATACCATATAGTTGGTGCAAGTATGCGCACATATCTTCTAGAAAAGTCACGAGTTGTCTTCCAAGCACCAGAGGAGAGGAATTACCATGTGTTTTACCAGCTCTGTGCCTCAAGAGATCAACATCCTGATTTGAAACTGGGTATGTCCAATTTAGAACAAACTCTAGTGGATTGTGAGCGCTTACTGACAAATTACATTTAAAATTTTGTCCAACAATAACTTGGTGCTTCTTTTCTTCCTTTGCAGCACACCCAGATGAATTTGTGTACTTAAATCAGGGGGGTGCTGCCACTATTGATGGTGTTGATGATGCGAAGAGTTTTGTAGACATGGTTGGAGCTCTAACATTGCTTGGTTTTGGCCCCAAAGAACAGAATGATATGTGGCGTGTTCTTGCTGCTGTGCTTCATCTTGGTAATGTTCAGCTTACCCCTCAAGCAGAGGGCACTACAATAAGTGTAAGCATTTTTGAATACTATATTCAAGTTTGCAAGATTTAGAATTGAACTGTCTAAATGGGATTTGTTTTTCTTTAGTCCAAAGATCGTCATTTGGCAATTTTCTGTGAATTGCTAGAAATAGACATCAATGAAATGCGTACCTGGCTTTGTCAGCGCCGAATAGTTAGTGTTCGAGAAGTCTTGAACACACCTATGAATGTCAAAGAGGTATGTACTCGACTCACTCCTACATGGAATGTTACAGAGGTGGTTGAAGTGTCAGTCATGTACATGTCCCTTTTCTGTTCTCTACTCATAGGCAACAGCTGCTAAGGGTGCCTTGGCTAAGCACGTTTATGCAGAATTATTTAACTGGATTGTGGGTATAGTAAATAAAGCCCTAGAAAGTGGAACCAACAGTACTCAGAAGTTCATTGGTGTCCTAGATATTTATGGATTTGAAACTTTTGAAATAAACAGCTTTGAACAGTTCTGTATAAATTATGCTAATGAAAAACTGCAACAACAGTTTAATCAACATGTATTCAAATTAGAACAAGAAGAATATTTGAAAGAAGAAATTGAGTGGAAATTTATTGATTTCTATGATAACCAGCCGTGTATTGACCTAATTGAAACTCGATTAGGTATTTTAGATCTCTTGGATGAAGAATGCAGAATGCCTAAAGGAAAGGATTCGTCATGGGCTGAAAAGCTTTATTCTCAATGTACCAAGTGGAAACACTTTTCTAAACCAAGGTTTGGTACCACTGCATTTCTTATCAAGCATTTTGCAGATAATGTGCAATATGAGGTAGCTGGATTTTTAGAGAAGAACAGAGATACAGTCATGGAGGAACAAATTACAGTACTTAGAGGAAGTCAAGTAAGTTACATTGTCTCGCATTTCCAAGAGACTGTACTCCAGTAGGTACTGTCTTCTGTAGATTTTTCTTCTTCTTTCCAAACAGAATAAACTGGTTCAAAAACTTTTTGCTGATGAAGCTCGTCGACTTGTGGTTCCTGCTGCTAGAGTGAAGGTTACTCCCTCCCAACCTCAGGCACAGTCTAAGCAGAATAAGAAAACTGTAAGTCCTGTTTTCCAAGCAATTCATTTTTTTTTCTTCCTCTTCTTTTTGTGTGCGCCTTTCTATATCATGACTTTGTTCTCTCTTTTTCTTTTTGTTTTTTTAGGTAGGATCACAGTTTAGAGACTCTCTCAACATGCTTATGTCAACATTGAATGCAACTACCCCTCATTACATCAGATGTATTAAACCAAATGATGTCAAAAAGCCTTTTGAATATAATGCAGTTCGTGCTGTCCAACAACTAAGAGCATGTGGAGTACTGGAAACTATACGAATCAGTGCAGCTGGTTTTCCTTCCAGGTGCAAATTATTTATGCTTCCGTATTATCTATTCTAATTATGAACTTCTGTACTCACTGTCTTTTATATCCTTTTGTTGAAAGGTGGACATATGGAGATTTTTTCCAGAGGTACAGGGTGCTCTGTGTCTATAAAGACATTGATTATGATAATTTGCGAGCAACTTGTGGTAGAATACTGAACAAGCTAATTAAGGTTTGTCTTTTTGTGTTGCATTCAAATGATACAATTTTCCTTGTCTTCTATTTATCACTGTTTCTATCTCTTACTGTATTTTTCAGGATGAAGATAAGTACAAGTTTGGAAGAACAAAACTTTTCTTTAGAGCAGGACAGGTTGCATACATGGAAAAACTTCGTGCTGAGCGCTTACGTCTGTGTTGCATCAAAATGCAAGCCCAAGTACGTGGGTTCATAGCTCGGAAGAGATATCTGAGAAAGCGAAATGCAGCCTCAACCATTCAAAGATGGGTTCGAGGTTTTATTGCAAGAAGGTGACCAAAAATATTTTTTTTTAGTAACATTTACCATGGGTTTATTGGACAGCTCATATAATTTTATTTTTATCTCTAGACGTGTTTATCACATGCGGCGTGAGCGTGCCGCAACCATCATTCAGCGGCGTGTGAGAGGTTGGGTCAAATTGCAGCAGTACCAGCGTTTGAGGCGCACCATACTTGGTATTCAAACACATGCTCGAGGGCTTCTTGCCAGACGTAGATACTTGGCCATGCGATACAATCATGCTGTGAGTACTCTACCTCCTTCTATACCTAAAATAAAAGTAATTAAAAGAATAATACTAATTTAAGAAAATTGTCAAACTGTTATAATTTCAGGCCATTGTGATTCAAACAAGTGTGCGACGCTGGTTGTGCCGAAATAGATATTTGAAAAACCGCAAGAAAATAATTGTTGCACAGTCAGCTATACGCCGCTTCTTAGCCAAGAGGCGTTTCAGAAAAATGAAAAAAGAAGCTCGGTCAGTTGAACATGTTAAAAAACTTAACAAGGGTCTTGAAAATAAGATTATATCTCTACAACAAAAAATAGGGGAACTGGTAAGAATTCTGTCTTTAATGGAGGAAAAAAACTGACTACCTTAAAATATCAACTTCTCATTACTTTCTAATTTTTAGACAAAAGAAAACACATCACTGAAATCAGTTCAGAATGATGTTAATGAAATGCGACAGCGGCTGGATATTTTAAAAGGTGTTGAAGCAGAGCTGAAACGCACTACAAATACGTTGAGAGAAAAGGATGGTGAAATTGAAAAGTTACAGAAGGACTTACAAAAGGAAAGAGATGAAAAGATGGATCTAATCAATGAGGAGGAGAGGTGGAAAAAAGAAAAAGGTGACACTGAAAAGAAACTGGCTGATGATAACGAGCACCTTAAGGCCTTGTTAGATGCTGCAAATGAGCAAATAAAGCTTAACCAATTAAATGCAGAAGGTACGTTGGTTCAATATGTTTGTAAATAATCTGCAGTTTCAAAAGGATGTTGTTTTTTTTTTCCTGAAGTTGTGTATTAAAACTTATCCATTACTTCTGTGTACAGAGATATTAAAAGCTCGTCTTGAACAAGAGAAACAACTTTTGATCAGAGAACAAGATCAAGATAGATCAGCCTACCAGAAACTCTTGAGAGATTTCCATGCATTAGAGCAAAGATCAGATCAGATGGAGCGTGAATTAGCAAGGTAAGTTCTTAAATTGAAATGAGACAATTTCTTGAACTTGTAAATTATGTAATTTTATGTCTTTGAAATTATTTACCTTTAGACGTGTTTACTATGCTCAAATCTTTTTTCTGACAGGATTCATCGTGAGGGTGGCAATATACCAAATACTCTGAGAAAGAATAAGCACCAAAGAACCCCTTCAAGTGCAAGCACTATGAGTATGCAAGATGATGCTTTAAGCATGAACAGTGAAATTCCAGATGATGGCAGTACTGTACGTTTGTTAGAATAACTTTTTGTACTTCTATTTAACTTTGTGATATTTTGCTAACATTTCACAAATTCTACAGGATCATGGATATGGGTCAGTGAGATCCAATACTTCACCGTCTGCCAGTCATCTCACCGTTGAAAATACTGATTGGCAAACTCAACAAAGCAAGGGTGACAGTCCTGAGGCAGCACGCAGTACATCAAGCAATGCTTCTCCTGATGTAAGTTAATTACACTTCTACTCACATTCAAAGATTCTTGTGGTAGTTGCAACAATTTAATAAATGCTTTCCCTTTCAGGTGGATGTTGGTCTTGTGCTGAAACTCCAAACAAAATTACAACAGGTAACCAAAGAGAGGACGCGCTTAAGCAAGCGTCTGGATGCTTTGGACCAAGATCTCAATAATTTGAGTGAAACAACAGCTCGCACCCAAGAAGCTTTCAGGGTTTGTGGATAGCATTTGAATTTTAATGGGGCAGGAATCTAATTTCATAATCTATCTAAAACACTCTTTGGTTTCTAGGTTCAGGAATTAGAAATGGAAAATCAAAAATTGAAGAGCAATCTAGATAACTTACGCCTTGCAGCAACAAAAGGAAACACTGGCGCTCAACAACTCCTCAGTTAGTATATTTTTCTTAAACTCATTTTAACTTATTCCCTAATAAGAGGTATTGAGGTATTTAAACACTTAATTGTGGAAGGGAAATATTTTCTTCTAGCTGTTTCACATTTTCGTGTCATTGAAGCTGTATTTGAATTCAATCTCTCTTCTAATTTTAAATTTTTCTCTACTTTTATTATTATTTGCTCTTATTCCTCTGCTTTTTGATACAGTATTTTTTATAATCCATAGCCTCAAAAAAAATTTCTAGATCTGTAGAAACTTTGGCAATTTTATGATTTCTCTAGAAGAATGCTGCATGAAGCAAGTTATTATCCTTAATATGCTAATATACCTACTTATCATCCTCTTCTATGCCCTGCTCCTCCACCTCTTTTATTTTACAATTATATGCTGTTTTATTTGTGTAATTGCTTACAAATTTTATCCATCTAGGTCAATTCAATGCCCTTGAATTGGAGTTGGAGAGACGCAGAGAAGAATGTATTCAACTGCATACTATTCTTTCAGATAAAACAAGTGGAATGAAGAATATTGCCCAATCTAGTTATGGGAAAGACGTTGACATTATGAATGAGGATGGTGAGCTAGTTTTAGCATTTGAAGCGCAAAAGAAGATTAATAGGTGACTATTGCATTATACTGTACTTGTACTCTCATACGTTATTGATTGAATATTTTGTTGCATATTCTTGTCTTGTTTTCGTTGAAATGGTTTTCCATTGGTTTTTACGTATTTGCAGGCAATTGGAGAATGAGTTGCAGGAAGAAAAACAACAGTCACTGAAAGAGCATGATGATCTGAGAGGGGAAATTGAGCGGCTTTTGATTGACAATGAGAAGCTTCAAAGTCTCTTCTCTGAAAGTATAGCTGAAGGTGCCTCAAACCCTGCTCAAGCTTATCTTCAATTTGAAGTCTCCAGATTAACTCAAGAAAATTTGGTATGTACATGCAACTTCTATCAAGTGTGTTAACTTATATGGGTACTATTTGTTCTGTTATAATCCTCTTTTACTCACATGACTTAAATTTAGGATTGGCAAGAAAAATATGAACTTCTTGCTGAGGAGAACAACAAACTGAGGGCTCAACTGAAGATTTTGGATGTGAAAATAAAAGGACTTACAGGTATTCTTCTTAAACCATAAAGAAAATGTTCAAATTTTTCTAAATATTATGTACTGTATTTTTTAAAACTGTATACTCTTTCTGCTACTTTAGGAGGTGACCCTCCATTAACTGGAGGTGTCATTAGCAGTAGGGACATCAATCAGTCTGTATCCAAATTCCGCACAACACAGCCACCACAACCAGCTCCGCGGTCAACTGTTGATTCACAGAATAAGAGGGCTGCAGATCAATCAGGACTTCCTGTGGTGCGCAAAAAAGACAGAGAATATTTAGGCATGTTTGAATATGCAAAAGAAGATGAACATACTCTTGTCCAAAGGCTCATTAATGGTAAGCTTTTTTAGCACATAAGTCCTTGGACTTTGTTTTTACCTGGTGTTATATGTAATACTGTTGTATTTATTTCTAATTTTCATTTAGATCTAAAGCCAAAGACAGCTGTAAACCTCTTGCCTGGATTACCCTCATACATTCTAATGATGTGTATACGCCACACTGACTATATTAATGATGATGAAAAAGTCCGATCTCTTCTAACTGCCATAATTAATACTGTGAAAAAGCTTATTAAAAAGAAACATGAAGATCTTGACACAATTGTGCTGTGGCTCTCTAATGTTTTGAGGTAAAACTGAGGAAATTTTTTCAACATGGTAATTTATTTTAATGTGCAAAACCCATACATGTCAATTTTTTGTTTTGTGTTCAGATTGTTGCACAATATGAAACAATATAGTGGTGATAAAACATTCCAAGAAGAAAACACGCCAAAGCAAAATGAACAATGTCTACGGAACTTTGACCTTGCTGAATACAGACAGGTTCTAAGTGATGTTGCTGTATGGATATATCAGGTAAGCAAATAAACAAAATCTCTTAAAATTTCATCCTTATTTTGAAGTGTACTATATATTAACTACTTTTTACAGGCCTTAATATCAATCCTTGAGGAGAAGATCCAGCCTTATGTTGTTCCTGCTATTCTTGAGAATGAGGCAATCACAGGTCTATCATCCCGGGGTGGTGGTGGAGGTGGTCGCCGTGGTCGGACAATGTCCGATGCTGATGTCAAACCGGGAATGCAACAAGCTCTTGATGCTATGATTGGAGAGCTGTCTAGTTTCCATCGAACTCTCGGATTCCATGGAGTAGATCCTGAAGTCATAACTCAGGTCTTCCGGCAGCTATTCTATTTCATCTGTGCATCTGCTCTGAACAACCTTCTATTGAGGAAAGATTTGTGTCATTGGTCAAAGGGGATGCAAATTCGTTACAATCTTTCACATCTAGAGCAGTGGACTCGAGATCATAAGCTTTTAGATCCATGTATTGTAGAAACCTTGGCACCCATAATTCAGGCTGCTCAATTATTGCAAGCCAGAAAAACTGATGAAGATGTACAGAGTGTGTGTGATATGTGTGACCGGTTAACAGTTCATCAGGTATTGTGATTGCTTTTGATTTCCAGCAGTCATTTTTCTTTTCTTAACTTGTGCTTCATTACTCATGTTTTCATTTCCTGTCCTATCCAGATCATAAAATTATTAAATTTGTATACTCCTGCTGATGATTATGAAGAGAGAGTGCCATTGACCTTTATAAAGAAGATTCAGGCTCGTTTGCAAGAACGCGCCGAACTTCAAGCTAACCAATTTGCAGGAGAGCCTCAAGTGAGTTTTCTTATATTTCTAAATGATTGTGAATTTATCTTTCTTTATAGTTTGCATGTGTTCTTTCAAACTTTGGATACTCCTTTCAAAATGCTTTCTCTCACAGGTAACGTTACTTATGGACTCAAAGCAGAGCTTCCCGGTCCGATTCCCCTTCAACCCGTCAAATATTCGACTGGAAGATATTGAAGTGCCTGCTGTCTTAAATGTACCAATGCTTAAGAAAATTTAAGCTTGTTTTGTTTTTGTTTTCCAAGCAATAATGATTGCTAACTCTGTGGGCAGCACAATAACAAATATATGGAATGTTACCTAAAATGCTTAGATTTTAATTTTGCAAATTTAGAATAACAATAGGGGGTATCAATTTATTTTTTAATTGGACCATTGTTGATGTTTGTTTTCTTCTATTGAAAATGTTGTTGCATATTTATTTTATTGTTTTGAATAAACCTAGCCTGATCTGGGAAGATAGCAAGAAAAGGAAGCATGTAGTTTTTTAACCAGGCTTTTGAAAGAAATTTAAATGTATTGGGTCCTTACTTGACTAGCACCCTGGGCCTCTTTAGGTGAACATATGGTGCAGCATCAGTCAATCAATTCAGTATTACTTATGAGTAAACTAGAATTAAAAAGTACTGTATGAAATGAATTTAAGTTATTTAATGGTAAGATAGGTTTTTTTCCTGGCTTGGAACTTGTTGCCATTATCATGTAATCTTCCATGAAATTTTCCCTTCAATTTTATGATTTGTTTTGTTATTAATTTACATATTGAGTTTTGAAGAACACAATCAACACAATGAATTTTAATTGCATTTAAAGCATCTTTGCACATTCACTGTGCTATGCATTTTTGTTATCTTTTATTTGTGAGAATAAGTTTTTAATTATCTTTAATCTAT